TTTGACAGACAGTGGTGACTGTGTGTTGAGGCGTATTGCCTGGGGATTGAATGAGGGTCTCCTTCATGGGAGGTGAGGCATCTACCACTGAACTATCAAAAACTTCCCTTCCACAAGCTACCTTGTCTCTCATAGAGGCTCATAGATAGAATGCCATTTAGTTCAGATTTCATGAATCAGAAGTCCATTTTGACTGTGAGCCATGCATTCATATGAAGTGCCTTCTTTGCCACATACTTTGGTGAGTATAAAGTATACTAACATTTTAGAATCTTTACAGTAGTTTTTTCTTGGCTTTTACAATCAACACTCTTGGTACCAGCAGACAAATTGCATTGGTAAGTCTGCTGTCAGGGACCTCTCCAGAGTACTGCAACAATGTCGGTCTGGAGACTAAGATGTGCCTGAATCAGGCCATGGTCTTCACAATTACGTACTATGCATCAGAAAGCTGGACAATGATGAGGGATGATAGAAGGAGAATTGATGCCTTTGAGCTATGGTGCTGGAGAAGAGTATTGAATATACCATGGACTGCTAGGAGAACAAACAGGTTCATACTTGAGAGGGTGAAACCAGGCTGCTCCTTGGAGACAAGGATTCTGAAGCGTTGTCTGACATACTTAGGGCATGTTTCAAGGAGTCCTTAGAGAGGGACATCATGCTGAGGAGAGTAGAGGGACAGTGCAAGAGAGGAAGATCTTGGATGAGATAGATTGACTCAGTGACTGGAGTAATAGGGGTAGGTGTGTCAGAGACAGTAAGTTTGCTCACGATCGGTCAGGCATCAGAGCTATGGTATATAGAGTTGCAGGTGACTTGATGGCACATAACAATTGTTGTTGTTGTTGTTGTTATGTGCCGTCGAGTCGCCTGCGACTCATAGTGACCCTAGTACAACAGCCCTAAACTCCGCTCTGTCCTGTGCCAATCGCACTGTCTCTGACATTCCCATCCCAATTATCCCAGTCACTGAATAGTAGTTTTAAAATATAGGACTTTTTTTAGATTATTTTATTTTATTATTATTTTTTGTGTGTACTGTCAAATCGAATCTGACTAGTACAGGAGGAGATTGCCCCACCTTCTCCAGCAGAGCATCTGGTGGATTTGAACCGCATACCTCTGGGATTGCAGTGCAGCTTCTTGCAACTAGGCCACCACAGCTCCCAAAATATAGGACTTTTAACCCACCTCTGACAGATGGAGTCTAAGACATGAGCAGAAAAGAATCTAACCAAACCTGCAAGTGATAGAATTTGTTCCAAACCCATTTTTGGTAGCAAGTTGAGCATTTTCTGTCCTCTGTGGTGTATCAGGACGCTGGAGATAACTGCCTTTTTGACAGTTTTTGGGTTGTGTCTAACTTACTAGCATCAGATTTGTATGTGTGGGTTAGGAAACTGGAAAAACTTATCTAAAGGTTCTCTCTGTTGTGTAAAAGATCTAGAATAATTAGATGTTATTGTGATTATATTTGGTGCTAAGTTTGTAGATACATGAGCATCCAGCCCGAACAATCTGAAAGTCTGGGTGAATTGCTTTAAGACACTGCTTTTGTGTCCTCATTCTTGATGGCCTTAGAATCATATGCTGGGGTGGTGAATCAAACACAGAACAGTTAAAACAGAGAAGCGTCAGAACAGTCTAAACCTCTGAACTGACTTTTCTGAGGCAAGGATTATAATCCAGGTATTGACTGAAAGGATGTAACAGTTAAAAGGCAATTTAGAAACCCATTTTGAAGCTCTTTCTTTTAGCAGTGGGACAGTATAAAGTGAGTAGATTTGGGCATGAGATAGCCTTGAACTTGAATCAGCTTTATCACTTGCTAGCCCAAGAGAACCAGTAAGAGATAATCCTTCTGAATCTTGGGTCCTCATAAGCAAATTGAGGTTACATATGTCTTCTTTGGAGATTTATTCTAAGGATTAAATAAGGCAATACAGACAAGTGCCTCTCACAGAATTACGCATCGGTGGCTGGATGGCACCCTTCTTACCTTCCGTGCAGAAGTTCAGGGTTCAATTTCCAGCCAGTGCATCTCATGCATAGTTCTTCATATTGTTATGGTGATGAACAGGGTTCAGCACAACTTCTAGACTAGGATAGTCTCAGAAGAAAAGCCTGACAATCCACTTCTGAAAGCCAGTCAGTGATGACTTGATGGGTCATGACAGATCATGCTACAATCCATTGAGCATGGAGGTGCCGTGAGCCAGGGCTGATTCCACATCTATGGCTGAGGGCAACAGTAATCTCTCACAGCAGGGGTCAACAACTGATAGTGCTGGCTAAATGAAAGTTACTGTTTTTTAAAACATTAGTTTTTTAAAAAAACACCTCAGATCAACCGTGCCACAGATTTGCCACTTTGGAGAGTCAGTTTGGTTTTGTGACTGCTAACTGTTTTTTAAAGTGCTGTGGTGTCAGCCAGGTCAACTGCCGCTTATTCACCTCTTCCTCAGCGTGTACTTCCTGTACTTCCTACATGACAGTCCTGCCCATGACACTTGCCCTGGGTTGGAAGATTCAGAGTGATAGCCCTGTGGATGTTTCTCATCCCATGCAGTCACTATTCTGAAGAGAAGCACAGGGTACAACCCATGGCTTTATCTCTCGATGGCCACGTCATGTGTGAACATGGCGTGGACGTTCCTTGGCGTTGCTTTTTATTCCGGCTTTTTCTGACTGGTTTGTTTTTCACTGGCTAATGGAATGCCTTTGTATCCTCCCCTCCCCTCCTCTCCTTCTTTGGAAAATAAACTAATGGGGTCTTCTAAAAATAAAACAACAAACACCAGTAGGGAAAAACATCATCCATACAATATGGACATAACTATAGTCTGGTGGCTTAGTGGTAAGGTCTTGTGCTACCATCACAAAGGCTCATGGTTTGAATCCACCAGGAGCTCCATGGGAGAAAGATGGGCAGTGCTATTTACTGTCTCTGAAAACCCTCTGGAGGGTCAGCTGTAACTTGATTCTGACTCCACAGTATATAACAACAACAACGACATTTAAAGCTACATTTTTTTAAAAATTAAAAGCCATGTTTCATGGGGTTTTTAAATCCATGAAATAAATTGAAATATCCAGCATTTCCAGTATAAGAACACAATTTTTTTATACATTTATAAACTGTGTTTTATTTCCTTAATCAGAATAAAAGCAAAACAAAACAGAACCAATGGCTCTCATTAAGGAGATATTTTCATTACTTTTTATTGTGGTTGTATACCATTGAGTCAGAACCAACTCATAGCTGACCCCCAGGTGGGTTTTCGGATGCAGTTAATTGCATGAGAGAAGATTACCCATCCTTCTCCCAAGGAGCAGCTGATGGCCTTGAACCACGTGCCTTTGGGATTGCAGTGCAGCTCCTTGCCCCTAGGCTCAGACTCTTAGCGAACCTATTCTACAGAATGAAGCCCTGCCATGTTCTGTTGTCTCCTCACTGCATCTTAGAAGATGGTAAATGAATAAATCACAAGGCTTGATTTTTGCCTGCAAAAAGGGGGAGCTAGATTTTGTAGAATTTTAGTGTAAGAGCTTCCATCACTTATTGAGGATTATCCATAACTAGTACGAAGTTCGACCACCAATCAACAATCTGAGTTATGTAGATTACACAACCCTGCTTGCTGAAAATGAAGAGGACCTGAAGCGCCTGCTGCAGAGGGTCGAGTACTGCAGCCTCCAATATGGATTGAGGCTAATTGTCAAGAAGACAAAGATTCTCACCACTGGACCAATTGGCAGCATCAGGATGGATGGTGAAGAGATTGAGATTGTTCACAGCTTTAGTTTGCTCAGCTCCATGGTCAACACTCTTGGCACCAGTAGCCAGGAAATTAAAAGGCGCATTGCCATGGGAAAGTATGCTGTTAGGGACCTCTCCAAAGTACTGAACAGCAATGGTGTCTCCCTGGAGACTAAGGTGCATCTGATACAGGCCATGGTCTTCACAATCACTTGTTATGCGTTAGGGAGTTGGACAATGACCAAGGAGGATAGAAGGAGAATTGATGCCTTTGAGCTGTGGTGCTGGAGAAGAGTATTGAGAATACCATGGACTGCTAGGAAAACAAACAGATTTGTCCTGGAAAGGGTTAAACCGGCTGGCTCCTTGGAGGCAAGGATTCTGAGGCTCCGTCTAACATACTTTGGACATGTTGTGAGGAGAGACCGGTCCTTGGAGAAGGACATCATGCTTGGGAGGGTGGAGGGACAGAGCAGGAGGGGAAGGCCCTCTATGAGGTGGATTGATTCAGTGACTGAGATAATCGAGATGGGAGTGTCAGAGACAGTGCGATTGGCACAGGACAGAGCAGAGTTTAGGGCTGTTGTACATAGGGTCGCTATGAGTCACAAGCGACTCGACGGCACATAACAACAACAACAACAGTACGAAGTTGTTAACAGATATTCAATGTGGCCATGGACTTCTATACTGTTAACTCAGAATTTGCTAGCAATTTTTCTTGTAATGGAAACAGAGAAGAATTAATTTTTGTATGAGCATCCATTGGAATATGAGTTAACTTTACACAGCTTCTTTATACTGAGAAATGTCATTGAGCTTGACAAACACATGTAAGACTTAAGATTTTAGATGATTTGATGACTATTTTGGTTGTAAAGCATTAAAGAAAGTCTTTGAGATTGTTGCCATAAAATTTTTGTTTAAACAAAACCACAGCCTGACATTCTTACTTCCTTTCATTGATCAGTTATTTTAAATGTATGTGGATATGCCTTCAGTTGTCTCTCTGACTTGTAAAAGAATTATCCTAAAGAGAGATCTAGAACCTCAGGAAGGCAGATTTCTTTCTACAAGTTTACAAGGCAACAAGATTTCTACAAATGAACTAAAATGAGCTTTTCTAGAAATAGATTCCCTGACTCTCCTTTTCCTGGGATTCCTATATCTCAGTTTTCAGGGATATGAGAAACAGAGATGCAAATATTTAAGTCCAAGAGAAATATGAACCACTTACCCATGCAGTCTGGACCCCAGTGGCCTGGGCAACACTGAGGCTGGAGGTATTCCTTCCTACAGATGTGCTGGCATCCAGGGATATACAACAAGTAGCTTCTGAGCTCATACGTGTACCTTGAAGATGAAGAGAAGAAGTGAGCCCATAATCAGTGCAGTGCAGCTATGCCTTGTTCATAGGGGGGCTGTAGTTTAAAAAATGTGTCCTTTACAGTTAGACAGTGCCATTCACTTAAAATGCTATCTGGTCATAATTTTGAAACCCTTGCTGAAAAGCTACTCTATTCCTATTTCTTGAACAACTACTAAGCCCACTTTCCCTCATCAGATTATCAGATTCCTGGAACATTAAACACTCAAGACTGGGTGCCCACCAACTAGGAGTGATCTCTGTGTTCTCTGAGTCTGCATGCAGAATGATTCAAAATGCTTACTCCCTAGAAAATCCATACACTTTAGCTAATCCATCCTGCTTGTTCTACAAAAATCATCCTCTACAATTTCAATGTTTTATTACCTTGTCTCCAGTGTAGGTACCTGTGTGAGACTCTATCTCCAAAGAGTGAGAATACAAAACCTTTTCACCTACTACCTTTTCATGGCCTCCTTGACCCTTTTTCTTGTGTTGGACTATCTAGCAAATCTGTTAAGAGCAATTTACCTAGATTTCTTTGTTAATAAAATTTTTATTTTATGCTGTTTTACTTACAAAATTAATATACATTGTTTTTCACACCAGACCATTACCATTTTCTTTATCCATCCCTTCCTACATCCATCAAATTGTGCAACACTGTGATTCTCCCCCGCCCCCCGTCCTCACCCCTCTGCTACCCTCTCCTCTTAGATACTCATACATGTTTTACTACATATCATTTGATTTCTACAATAGTGGTCTTATACAGTATTTGTCCTTATGGGACTGAGTTAGTTCACTCAGCATAATGCTCTCCTGTCCTTCCCAAAGTAGGTAGTGATTTTCAATATCATTGCTCCTACATGCTGTGTAGTATTCCCTCATGTGAATTTCTCAGTCCATTTGCTTGTGGGTGGATATTTGGCCTATTTCCAAGTTCTTGTGATGGGGAATAACATTGCTATGAACAATTGTGTACAAATCTCTGTTTGTACCTCAGTTCTCATTTTCTTAAGGTGTATTCCAACCAGTGGAATAGCTGGATCATATGAAATGTCTATATTAAGCTTTTTGAGGATATGCCAAACTGCCTTCCTAAGTGGTTGTACCATTTTATAATCCCAAAAATAATGTGTAAGAATTCCTTGCCACATTCTCTCCAACATTTATTGCTTGCTCTCCTGTTAAACTTTGCCCTGTTGCTGGGGTGAGGTGGTATCTCATTGTGGTTTTGATTTGCATCTCTCTTATTGACAGTGATTTTGAGTATTTCTTCATGTGTATGTTGGCCACCCAAATATATATACCTCTGGGAAAAGTCCTTATTTCCATGTCTTTTGCCCATTTTGTAATTTTGTTATATATATTTTTTTTTTAAAGAAAGAATAGGGATATTTGGCCTTCTAAGTAGAAGATAACCATAATTTTTTTTAATGAAAAGAAAGAAATTAAAATTAAGGTATGATGGAAACAGGGTTAAGATATCTAAATGTAAGAAGTCAAGTAGATAAAAAAATGACGTTGGTTGCTTGGGTTTAGCACATGGATTGCAGGTTATGGAGTTTCAGAAATATCTGTGTCAGAGGGGGTATAATGGAGTGAGTGACATTGCCTTTGGTAATGAGTTTTTAGAAGAATTTTTTATACTGGCTAAGATATAGTTCTGGAATACCTATTCTATGGAGGCTAAATGCTATTGTCTACTTACATGAAGTGCTTGCTGCACAAGGTCAAGGGCTGTCATCTTCAATATGGATTGAAGCTCAATATCAAGAAGACAGAGAGATTCTCACCACTGGGCCAATTGGCAGCACCATGATAGATGGAGAAGAGATTGAGGTTGTTAACAATTACAGCTTGCTTGGCTCCACAATCAACACTCTTGGCACCAGCAGTCAGGAAATCAAAGGTGAATTGCACTGGGAAAATCTGCTGTCAGGGACCTCTCCAGAGTACTGAGAAGCAACAATGTCACTCTCGAGACTAAGGTGACCCTAATCCATGCCATGGTCTATGCAATTAATTGCTATGTGTAAGAGAACTGGACAATGACTAAGGATGACAGAAGAATTGATGCCTTTGAGTTGTGGTGCTGGAAAAAGAGTATTGTACATACTTTTACCACGGATTGCCAAGAAAATAAATAAGTCTGTCTTGGAGAGAGTGAAACCAAATTCCTAATTGGAAGCTAGGGTCTTGAAATTCTCTCTCACATACTTTGGATGGCCAGGAGGGACTGGTCCGTGAAGAAGTACATCATGTTTGGAATAGTGGAGGGACAGTGCAGGGGAGGAAGACCCTGGATGAGATGGATTGATACAGTAACTGGAACAACAGGGGTAACTGTGTCAGAGTTAGTGAGACTGGCTCAGGACAGTACAGGCTTCAGCGCTGCTGTACATAGGATCACTATGAGTGGCAGGTGACTTGATGGCACATAACAACAACAATTTACATGAATCCTTTTTTGTCCCAGGGTTAGACTTTTGTATATTTAGAAATAATATTCTATACCTGGCCAACTGACTGGAAGATATCAGAGTGTGGAAATTATCAAATAATATCACTGATATCACATGCAAACAAAATCCTGCTGAATATTAATAAAAAACAACTAGAAATGTACATTGACTGTGAACTACCAGGAATACCGGCCAGGTTTGGAAGAGGCTGTGGCACCAGAGACATTATCGCCAATGTGAGATGGACCTTGGCTGAAAGAAGAGTACCAGAGGACTGTCTATTTGACTGTATGGATCACAACAAATTATGGCTAACCTTGAGAAGAATGGGAATCCCAGAACACTTGACTGTGTTTATGCAAAACCTATACTTGGATCAGGAAGCATTTATCAGAACAGAATGAGGAAACACTACATGGTTCAAAACAGGAAAGGCAAGTGTCAGGGTTGCATGCTCCCTTTATATCTTTTCATTCTATATGTAGAACAGATCAGTCAGGAGGCTGGACTTTATGAGGAAGAATGTGGCATTAGGATTGGAGGGAGACTCATCAACAACCTACAGATGTTGTGTTGTGCTGATGACACTCTTTGTTCACCAAAACTGAGCAGGACCAGAAGCATTTGCTGCAGAAGGTCAAGAACTGTTGTCTTCAATACAGATTGACACTCAATATCATAAAGGCAAACTTTTCACCACTGGGCCAATTGGCAACACCATGAAAGATGGAGAAGATATCAGGTTGTTAACAATTTCAGCTTGCTTGACTCCACAGTCAATACTCTCGACAATGGCAGTCAAGAAATCAAAAGACAAATTGCATGAGGAAATCAGTTCTTAGGGACCTCTCCAAAGTGTTAAAGTGCGACAAGGTCAGTCTGGAGGGTAAGGTGCACCTGACTTAGGCCATGGTATTTGCAATTACTTGCTATAAGTCAGAGAGCTGGAAAGTGAGTAGGAATGACAGAAAAATTGATGCCTTTAAGTTGTGCTCGGAAAGAGTATTCAACATACCATGGATCACCAAGAGAACAAAGAAGTCTGTCCTGGAGAGGGTGACACCAGGCTGATCCTTGGAGACAAGGATTTTGAAGCGCCATATGACATACTTTAGGCATGTGGCCAGGAGTGGCCAGTCTCTGGAAAAAGACATCATGTTTGGAAGGGTAGAGGGACAGCACAGGAGAAGAAGAACCAAGATGAGATGGATTGATACAGTGACTGGGGCAATGAGGGTAGGTGTGTCAGGGTCAGTGAGACTGGCTCAGGACAGGGCAGGCTTCAGAGCTGTTGTATAATAGGGTCTCTATGAGCCACAGGTGACTCAATGGCACATAACAACAACAACATTCCATGATTATCTTTTCTTTCAAATGATATTTTGTTAAGAATAGTGCATGTTCTATAGGCTGTACTCCCAAACCCATTTATGGAACAGACTTGATAATGGTAAAATCATGTGCTTTATGGGCAATGAAGCTGGACAGAGGGTTAACATTTTCTTTGAACAATTGAGAATTCTGGTAAAAGAGTCTCTTCTTAAAGGCAAGTAAAGAGAGAGGTCAAGGGCGGAGACAACTGTCCCTCAAGAACCTAACTTAGACCTTCTCCAGCATAAGTGAATGACAGACCAAAGCTTCAATTCTAGAACACAGAGGATGGGTGCAGTAATCTTGTTCTCTGTGTGCATGTGTGTTTGTGCGCGCCTGCACTCTACAGGTAAATTAGATATAGCTAATTGCCTTTTTGGTCACAGTTTAAAAAAAATTAGCCAGTATAAAGTTGTTTTCAGTGAACATTTCATCTTAATCTTTATTCTTACCTAAATGGTTCTTGGATATATTCTAAGAGAAATCTGTAATAGTTGCAAATATGCCTGTCTCAAAAAGTTGCAAATAGAGATACCATTTGACCCAGCAATTCCACTACTGGGAATATACCCCAAAGAGACCATAACTGACATCCAAACATATATCTACACCCATGTTTATTGCGGCTTTGTTCATAATAGCAAGGAGTTGGAAACAACCCAAGTGCCCATCAACAAACAAATGGATAGAGAAGCTGTGGTATATTCACACCCTGGAATACTATGCTGCACTGAAAAGCAGGGAACTCATGCAATATTATTCAAAGTGGTTGACCCTGGAGGACATCATGCTGAGTGAAGTATCTCAGTCACAAAAGGACAGATACTCCATGGTGCCACTGTTGTAAAATAGGACTGACATTGGGGTTGGGGGGAGACTGAGAAGGATGGGTTCAGTGATGTATACTGCATTGAAACGGATGAGGGAGAAAACTGTTTAAGAGGGATATGTTATTAGGTGTTTTTGTCATGGCAAGAGTCCAGAGCGAGGGCTGTATGGTGGAGTGGACCTGGGGCAGGGAGCAGAGGGGGGATTGTAAAACAATGAAAGAATTTTTCTTTTACTTTTCCAAGAGTGTAGTGTGCTAAGGGGGAGGGTTTGGAGGGGATAAAAGTGCAACAATGAATGAATGGAAATCCAAAGTCTCTGTAGATTCTCATTGAAATGAATAATACATTTAAAACAAAACAACAGGGGGTGGGGTGGGGTGGGCAGGGAGAAAAGTGCAACAATGAATGAATGGAATTCCAAAATCTCTGTAGATGTTCATTGAAATAAAGAAACAAACAAACCAAAACCAAAACAACAACAACAAAAACCCCCAAGATTATAAAATAAACAAACAAACAAAAAAATCGCAGGAGGAAAAAAAAAAAAAAGAAATGAGGAAAAAAAAAAAAAAAGAAATGATGTCTTTGGTTTCAGACCCCAGTGCAGTCAGAGGAATTGAATGTAATTTTGAAATAGTAAATTAGAAGAATGCCATGTTTCATTTTCCAGGAAATATAATAATAAATCTCTGAATTAAAAAGAAATGTTGTTTTTAAAATTAGTGACTAAATAAAAACCCCATGCCAACAGCAAACAATTGTGCCTGTACGCTGGCTTCATGGTCGTCCCCTTCCTTTGCCGTGATCAGTGATGAATTCTGAGTGTATTGAATTGTGAACCCTGCCACCAGGTATGCTCATCACTATACCACCAACGCAGGACATCAGTTTATTGAATCTTAAAAGATCTTTAAAATTACAACACATAAAATTCTATACTGTTACATCTCCTCATGCTCCTTCTTTAGGTTTTAATACATAATTAGTTGTGCTATGACTATAAGATCCAGTATGAATACATGAAACACTTTATCAAATGACACAAAATCCAGATTTCTCAGACAAAGATACGAAGAAGGGGAAGTGTTTCTGTGTAACGCAGAGTAGGAAATTTTGGAATAGAGAGTGATTCGACAGGATTACATGCTTTAGAGCCAGTGTCATCAAATATGAGGTACCTAAGTACAAGTGTTGTGTCATCTTAGAATAAGAAAAATTGTGGAAATGCTTTCTAGGTTTTTAAAATTTTTAAATTTTTTTTTCTTTCTAGTTTTTGAGATAGAAGTTTCCATTTCCATTTACAATCCCTCAAGTTCCACCATTCAATAAACTTATTCTTCTCTACAAACCAGTACCTGCAGTCTCGAATCCCTACAGAGCCTTCTGTGATCTTGGTATAACCTTCCGGGCACCCGATTTTCAAATTAAGCGAGCAGGATCGACACTCGGTTCTAATGGTCAGAAAAGACTTCTTATCACATCGTTTCCCCTGGGAAAACATAAAAAATAATTTCAATTCTCATGGTTAGAACCTTGCAAAATACTTAGTTGAGCAACCTTCTGCACTCAGACTTAATGTCAACTGGATGGCGGGGATGACAAAGTGGTGACTGAGCTGCTGCTTTCAGTCTTGTCTAAAAAGACAATGTGTGCTGAGGCTGTGAAGGAGGGAGGGGCCCAAGCTTATACACACATTTGCCATTCCTGATTAAGAGTGTCCAGCAAGGTTGGGCACTGTCACTGCAATCTCTTACCCAAGAGGAAAACCTACAATATGTGACAGAATACACTTTGGAAATGAGAGAGACATTATTAAAGCATCTTATTTGAGGTTGTTGTTTTGTGCTGTCAGTTCTAACTTATAGTGACCCCACATGTTTCAGAGTAGATCAACCCTGTAGGGTTTGCAGGAGCAGATTCCTGGGTCTTTTCTGCAGTAGTGCAAATGGTACTGTGTGAGTTCTGGTTACCAGCTGGACGCAAACAATTTGAGTCACATCGGGGTATCTTTACAAGGTTAATTGCCTACAAACCCAACAGTCTTCAAGTACACTTCTTCAGCTTTTTATGTCACAGGATTATCTGCTCGGGGGGTCAGCATTATGCCATAGAAGATAGAATTTCTGCTTTAAAGTTGTCAGAATTGTAACCCAAAGATTCTGAAGCTCCGTCTGACATACTCAGGGCATGTTGCAAGGAGGAACCTGTCCTTGGAGAGGGACATCATGCTAGGGAGGGTAGAGGGACAGCATGAAAGAGGAAGACTCTAGATGAGATGGACTGACCCAGTGACTGGGGTCTTACAGGTAGGTGTGTCAGAGACAATAAGTTTGGCACATAATAGAGCAGGGTTCAGAGCTGTTGTACATAGGGTCACTATGAGTCACAGGTGACTCAATGGCACATAACAATAACAACAGCAGAATATAAACTCCATGAGGGTAGGGACAGTTCTCTACTTTGTTCAGTGCTGTGCCCTAAGGATTGTCTGGTAGATTGCAGTCATCAGAAATATTTGTTGATCATAAATTGTGATATGTAAATGTGTTAGATATTGGACTGTTAATAAAAAATTCAGGAGTTTGAATCCATCTGCCATTCCATAGGAGAAAGATTTACAATTTAAGATTTACAACTTTGGACACCTGTTCAGGCCTGTTCCAACTTAAGGCTTCCATGCATGGGAATGTTGGAATGCCGTGACTGACTCAACAGCAGTGGGCGGTATCAAACACATGGCTGTTGGATACCATCAAATCAGCTCCCATGTTTCATCTCATAGCAACCCGGTATACAACAGAACAAAACTTCCTTGTCCTCACAAGCTGCTGTGCTTAAGCTTCTGTGGCAGCTACTTTGCCAATCCTTCTTAGTGTGAATCCTTGCTTTTTAAAATCTGACCTTGTTTTTTCAAGCATGGAACCATCCTGCTGAACTTAAGGTGATGTGACTGTACAATGAAGAGACACTGAAGTTGGGAATCAAATGACCTGTTGTTGTGTTGTTGTTATGTGCCGTCGAGTCGCTTGCAACTCATAGCGACCTTATGTACAGCAGCCCTAAACTCTGCTCTGTCCAGTGCCAATC